CACCAATTCACAACATGTCATCTCAAGGCACTTTACAGATCATACAGTCAAATTGATTCAAGGTTTCCTATCTAAGGAAAACCAGTTGATTGTATTGACTCATTGACTCAAAGGCAGTCCCTCACACTAAACATGCTTGTAGTGGCAGTGAAGAGAAAAAAACTCCCTTTTAAGAGGAAGAAACCTGCAGCAGAGCCAGGCTCAGTGTTACCGGCCGTCTGCCGAGGCCGACTGAGGTTCATGGAGACAGAAGCAGAGATACAAAAAGCAACTGTGAAAGGCGGCCCCGTCCAGGAAACACACAGCCAGGTAGACGAGCTCTGAGCCAGCTCCCATGTCAGAGGATGAAGAGAGCACATGCAGCCAGTCAAAGTCAGAGAAACAGGACCACACTGAAAAACAGGCAGAGCTCGAACATCTGTAAACAAAGGTGTTGATGGCAGCAGCACAGCTGATATTTTTCTCCAGGATGGTGTCACAGCCAAACAGGAACAGACAGGGCGAAGCTACTATGAGAAAAAAAAGAGAGAGCATAACGTTAGAGATTGAACTAATAGATTCTGCAGAGTGGGAGAATAGAGAGAGAATGAAGCAGAATGATGAAATAGGGGTCCCTATGTCCTCCAGAAGTCTAAGCCTATAGCAGCATAACTATAGAGATAGCTAAGGATAACCTGACCCACTCTAAATAACCCTTAAAAGTAAATAGGATTTCTGCCTAATGGAATAAAACTGGTAGTTGGTTCCACAGGAGAGGAGCCTGATAACTAAAAGATCTGCCTCCATTCTATTTTTAGAAATTCTAGGAACCACTAGTAAACCTGCAGATTGAGAGCAAAGTGCTCTACTAGGAACATAAGGAAAAATCATATTTCTGATATAAGATGGAGCTTGGCCATTTAAGGCTTTATATGTGAGAAGGAGGATTGTCATGAGTGGGTAACAATAAAGAAGCTGCAGAGAGGTGTGTTAAACTACGACTCTGTTTTCTGGCCTATATGGACTACATTCTCCAGTAGCCCAGTAGCAATAGGGAATAGTTTAAAATGAATAAAAAATGTAGAAGCTTTGGATGCCAACAAAGTTTAATCTAAAATGTTTACATTTATGATTTTTGCAGGACTGCATTGACCATATGACTACAATGACCCATGTTATAGGATTATTTTTTTGCACCTATACAGTACATTAGCTGGGTAGAACCCAAAGTTAAAATCAGCTAAATCAAACATTGATCTATGTTGCTCCTTTAACTTCTTCTTCTCCTTTTTTTTTTTTTTTTTTTTTTTTTTTTGTAGAAACTATTGTATAGTGCTCAATACCTGAGCAGCAGCAACATCCTTCTTTCTTCTGCTTCTACTGTAATTGAAGCCACTTAACATGCCTATGAACGTGAATGCCAGGATCAGGTGTTGGACATTTTAGAAAGCCAAACAACCAGAATTAAGATGATCTTTCTGTGGCTCTTTTATATTTTAAGTTCCACATTTATACTACCTTAAAAAAGTCATTTGATTATATACTGATGCACCTAAAGGTTCAGGGTGCTACACTAACTGTCTCTTACTATTTCTAAGCATTCCCCTTACTGTGCTGTCTTAAAAAGGTTGTACTCATACCTGTTAAGAAAAGTCTCATCTATGAATGTGATGTAAATTGCCCAGTCAGAAAAATTGGGTATAAAAAGCATCACTGGAAAGATTAGTTGTTGTTTTCAACTTTACATAATTCATTTTCATTGTAAAAAGGAGAGTGTTTCATTTATTTGTTTTATTCAGCCTTTATTTATCAACCAGACAGAATTATTAATTTACAGCATCAAGTTATGTTACTTTAAATCCAGATGTTTTTTTGTGTTTTGTTTTTTTTCTGGTACCAATTCTAGAAACA